ATATCTGTCCTTGCCCCCCACCTTTGGGAGAAAGCATTGTATCTTTTCCATTCATATAAGGCATTTTTGCTGGAAGTATGGAGTACATGTCTTTTATCTGTTGAGAAGGTTCTGTTCTACCTCTAGTCTCCTGATAGCTTTTACCATGAACAGCTGTAGAATTTAGTCCAATACTCTTTCTGCAACTACTGATAGGATCATATGGCTTTTTTCTTTCCTCTGTTAAAATGATAACTTATGGGGGTGGACCTTCCAATGCTGAACCAACACTGCCGTCCCTATAATAAAACCATTTTCTACATACTGCCAGATTTGACTTCTAATAGTTTGTTTTGTTAAACAAATTTTTATCTATGTTCGTACTTTTTTTTCTTTTCTTCTCTTTTGGTACCAGGGATCGAACTAGGGACCTTGTGCTTGCGAGGCAGGCGCTGGAACCACTGAGTTAAATCCCCAGCCCCCATACTTTTTTCTTCTATTATCTTCATCTAGTTTTAGTATTAGCACAATGTTGATTTCCTAAAATGAGGGGAGAAGTGTTCCTTCTTTTTTCTGCTTTAAATGTTTGATGTAATTCATCAGTTAAAATGTATATGAGCTGGGCATGGTGGTACACGCCTGTAATCCCAGCACTCGGGAGGCTGAGGAAGGAGGCTCACCTCAAGTTCAAGGCCAGCCTGGGCTACATAGTAAGTTTAGGGCCAGCCTGAACTACAAAGGGAGAGACCCTGCCTCAAAAAAAAAAAAAAAAGTATATGAGCCTGTTGTTGTCATACAGGTAGGTTTTCAAATTAGGAATACACTTTAATAGGTGCCATTCAAATTTTATATTTCTTCCAGAGTCAGTCTCATTAATTTGTCTTCCAAGGTACTTCATAGAAGTTGTCAACTTTATTTCAAAAAAGACTTTTGTAATATGCTTTCTATATCCTTTTAAATTCTGTAAAATCACCAAGATGCATTATGTAAAGGTACAATTCCCAATGAGAAATGTAATTGTGCTGTATACCTAAAATGTACCAATAAAACAATTTAACAAAAAAAAAATTCTGTAAAATCTGTGGTGATGTCCTCTAAATCTCGATACTGTAATTTAAAAAATGTATAACTGATATTGTATAATAGGAAGAAAAGGTCTAAAGGAGCAGGGGAAGTGGGAGGGGTAGGGGAAAGGCAAGAAGGGAAAAGAAAAAATACGAGAAAATGGAAACAGTCTTTGCAAATAGGGAAGGGTGGAGGGGGTGAAGGGAGGGCAGGTGAATGGGGAAAAAAATAAGAACCAAGATACATCATGTAAAGATACAAGATCCCAATGATGAATGTAACTGTATTTTATACCTAAAATGTACCAATAAACTTAACGGAAAAAAAAAAGAGATCTGTTTACAACTTATCTGTGGAGATTCTTCCCCCATATCTTTTGTATTTTCCTCCACATTTCCTTTGCGTCACATCTCACTGGCATGTAGTTTATGTATCCCTTAATTGGCACATAAAACTGAGTGACCTTGTAAATTTAATGGCCTCTGCTCAATTAGCTATCTTTTCCTCATCACAGGCCCATTGGTGCATGCTTCCTAAACTACCTCTGCAAAAAAATATATATATATATTTTGTCATCTTCTTTGGTTATTATTTGGTAAAAATAATAACCATGATAAAAATGGCTACAGGGAATCAGGAGAACAAAGAGTGGGCTCTGGACAACCACAAGAGGAATGATCAGAGCTCAAGCACGCTAGGTTTCCCCTCTTCCGCTCCTGAGTACACACATTCCCACCCAGGCCCACTGCCTGGCAGGTTCTGCTGCTTCCTGGACCCACAGAGTCTGGCTGCCCGCATCCCCAGCCATGACATCTTTCTGCAGGTGCCAAGAGGAAGAGAATGAGAAGAAGCCTTATTAGCCTCAGAGCACTCTGGCAACCCTGCCAACCTCCCCCGACCCCTAGGACTCATCCTCACCTCTACCCAACTCTTGGTGGGGAGGCAGCAGAATCAGTGTGTGTATGTGTGCATGTGCACGTGCACACACGCGTGCGAGCATGTGTTTGGGGGTAGGGCAAACAGAGGGCAAATTAGATTCAAGAAAACTCCATGCTGCTCTAACTGGAACACTTGCCAGGGACATAATACCTCTCACCTCTGCCTTCATTTGTCACACTCACTGCCTTCAGGTGATCTCAACCTCCTATCTCTCTGTGACACAGCTGACAGAACTTCCACTTCAACCTCAGGGCCACCAATGACAGTAGCAACAATGGGAAGAGAAATGAAAAAGGGGAGGGAGAGGGTGAGCTCAAGGGTAGAGGATGTGCTTAACATGAATAACGTCCTGGTTTCATCTTCCG